ATGGCTCAGCGGTTAAGGGCCCTACTGTGCCCGGGACTGGAGAGATGGCTCAGCGGTTAAGAGCCCTGACTGCCCTTCCAGAGAACTCTGGTTTGATTCCCAGCACCCACATGGTGGCTCATAACAGGGACCCAACTTCTTTTGATTGACCTCCAAGGGCACTGGGAACACAAATGCAGCAGAGACAAATGTGCAGGCAAATATCCATACATGTAAAAACAAAAACAAAAAACAAAAACCCCATTAAAATCGAGTGTGGTGGTACACACATTTCATCCCAACACTCAGCAGACAGAGGCAGGTAGATCTCTGTCAGTTTGAGGGTAGCCTGCTTCCAATGAGTTCCAGGACAGCCAGAGGCATATAATAGAGAGATTTTGTCTCAAAAACAAATAAAAATAAAAAGCAAAAACTAAATAAAAATTTACAAAAGTGTCCATTCTCACATGGGTACTTGTGAGGAAGGAGGTAAAGATCTCATGTTTCGAAATTCCTGTTGCCTGTTGTACTGTTTGGTCTTCTTTGTATTTCTGTGAACAATTTTTATCTATCTATCTATCTATCTATCTATCTATCTATCTATCTATCTACCTACCTACCTACCTATCTACCTATGTATTGTTTTTTGAGACAGTGTTTCTCTGTGTAACAGCCCTGGTTGTCCTGGAACTTGCTTTGTAGACCAGGCTGGCCTCCAACTCATGGAGACCTGCCTGCCTCTACCTCGAAGTGCTGGGATTAAAGGCGTGCCCCACCCACTGCCCAGCCTGTTTGTTTTTCTTGACTGACTGAGGTTTTACTTATCTTTAGTACTCACACTCGCTGCCAGTGCTGTGTCTCAGAAAACTTCGAAGGGGAAAAACCTAGAAGGTTTCTGCTCAAGCGCTGCTGGGTCCCACGTCCCTGCTGCCTGTGCTGCTCCTGTGGGGTTCCTGGGAGGACACCGCTTACGCTGTCTGTCCTCAGATGCGTGTCTACCCTCCCTGTTTGGCAATGCTCAGCGTCATGGAGTGAAATCGCATCCCTCCTCACCAGTCTCTGGCGTGCAACAGGTGGCGACAGGCACCTCTCAGCTCCGTGGAGGACAGTAGCTCTGTGATGTGCTTGTGGTTTCAGATGTGGGTGGCCCGTGTCCGCCTGCTGAGACTTATCTCCTGGATCAGGTAAGGGGCTTTGCAGTTCACACAGGGACAGTTGGCAGTAAGTCGTCTCCTGGCTGGGGTTGCCTGCAACGCTCTATGGCCCTGAGAAGATGCGCCTCAGAGGGTGAGTCTATGCGTGGGGCTCCCCTCTTCTCAAATTAACATGAGCTTCAGGAGGCAGAGAGGTGCTGTGTCCCTGGTGACGTGGGTGACACCCTTGTTTGATCTTGTCTAGTGCATTGGTCTTGAACATCTCCCAGAGATAGCGTTTTTTGCAGAGATAATCGTGAAATGCCGAACTACACAGCAGTGTTCAGGGCTGGGGTGGTGGTGGTGTCAGTGTGTCCGTGCCCCCAGGCAACAGAGAGAAGGAGAGAAAGTATTGGTGCTTGTGGAAGAAGCTTTGCTTTCTCAAGCTTCTTCGATTGAGCTAACTTTCTAGGGGGACGAAACTGAATGACCTAGGCCCAAGGTTGGTAAAGTCCCTCTAGACCTCCAGATCTTTTGAAAGCTTCATGGCAGAAGAGGATATGGAAGGCAGCGTGTGTGGGTGGAATTCCAGGTTAGCTCCGTGGGGTTGGGAGAGGCGGGCCCTGGGGTTGGGAGCAGGGAGAAGAGGGAGTGTGTGGGTGAGCAGCATTCTCCGTTTCTGGGTTACTGGGCTGCAGGAGGCTGGGATTCTGCCTTTCTTCTCTAACTTGATCTTCCCAGGACACCGATGCTCTAGGCTTACTCTTGGCCAGGCCTCAGCCTCCTAGGAGTGAACTGGAACCCATGACTTCCACTCTGGTTAAAAGTCCTGGATACCTCCAGGGTCAGGGTGGCTTTGGTAGAGACGTGGAAATGCATTTTTGTTAAGGAGTTGGGCTGGGGCAAGAGACGTGCATTATCAGGTGCCCCGAGCTGCCCATTTGGCTTAGCTTTGCGTGCAGGTGGCTTCAGGGGAGGCCCCTGCTGGTGCAGGGCACAGAGGCACTTCCTCATGAAGGCAGTAGGAGTAGTGGGGCACCATTTCCTTCCACCGACCCTCCCACCCTTCAAGTGTACAGTGTCAGTACATCTGCTTGAACCCTACCTTAGCCAGGACCTCTTGTTCAGGCGCCGAGAGACACAGCTGGCCAAGCCTGGGTTCGGGCGAGGAATCTAAGTTAGAGGGTGGAAGAGTGCTTTCGGATGGGTAAAAAAGCCACTGGAGGGACAGAGTGAGAATGCCCGGAGGAACTCCCTAGCCACCTCCCCACCAGCTTTCCTGTTCTATCCACCCACCGCTTCTAGATCCAACCTCGTCTGAGTCCAGTCAAGTGTGCCCCGGACGTCTGCCCATAGCTGCCTTTCCTGCAGGAAGTATGCGGGAAGGTGCTTCTGGGGGGCTTCCTTCTTTGCCTCAATGTCTCTGCTCCTTCCAGTCTGTCACCTTGGCCGTCACCCAGCTGGTCCACTGGTCCCCATCCTTCCGGCTCTTACCGTCCCTACTCCATCAGCATCGTGAGTGTCCTCACACACCCTGTGCACAGCAGGCTCTGGGATCCCCCTGGTGAGAGAGGAGGTCCTCACACTCTGTGGGGTTTTCCAGAGGGGAAACTCAATGCTGTGTCCACCTCTAGCCCCGTTTCCTGGCACAGCTTCCACACGCCACAGGCTCCTGCTGCTGCTGGAGAGCGTGGTGTCTCCCTCCAGAGAGAAAAGAAGACACTACTGGACAAGGTTTGCTTAAAGAGCAGACTCCTTCCATCCTTCACTGCTGTGGGCTTTGTGGGTGGGCAGGAGAATAGGGAGTTCCCCTGTCCCTGTCAGATAGAAAGCAGGGCCTCGGGATGTAACTCAGTTGGTAGGTGCATGCAAGGCCCTGCCTTCAATACCCAGTGCCAGGGAGAAAAGAAAAGAGGAGATGGCGAGATGGCTTAGTGGTTAAGGACACTTGCTGCTGGCTGGGCAGTGGTGCACACCTTTAATCGCAGCACTTGGGAGGCAGGGGCAGGTGGATCTCTGTGTGTTCGAGGCCAGCCTGGTCTGAGTTCCAGGGCTGTCAGAGTTGTTACAGAGAAACCCTGTCTGGGCGAGGGGGACGGGACCTGGAATGCAGCTCAGTGGTAGAGTATTACAGTACCTCATGAGGGCATGTATGTGCACACACAAACACACACGCACACAGAGCAGGGCTTGGGTATGGCTTCTTGTAGCGTACTTACCTAGCCGTGTTCTTGCCCACAGTTATATTGTTGTTGTTGTTAATATTAATTTATATATATATATTTAAGATTTACTTATATATTCATTATGTATACAATGTTGGCATCAGATCTCATCATAGATGGCTGTGAGTCACCATGTGGTTACTGGGAATTGAACTCAGGACCTCTGGAAGAGCAGTCAGTGCTCTTAACCTCTGAGCCATCTCTCCAGTCTAATATTAAATTTTTTGAGAGGCTGGGAGGCTAGGGCTATGTCCGCACACCTGATGTGATAGGGTGTGCTGGGCAGTGGTGGGGGCTTCACATCAGGGCTTCATGCCTGGGAGCATCCATTCCAAGATGGCGGGTGTTGGTTCCTCTAGGTTCTCACAGGTTCTATAACCTGTGCTGTGGTCAGACATTTTTGGTCCCAGGCCAGCCTGTCCTCAAGGACCAGTGAGTGTTCATTTGCCTACTTCTGTCCTAAGTACCTGGCCCAAGGTCTCTCTGTCAAGGAGGGGAGACCTCCTGTCAGTGACATGTCCCAGCCTGTGCTGGTAGACCTTTGGGAGAGAGAGGCTTGCAATGCCCAAAACTTTGGCCTCCTTGGTGAGGCCAAACCCTAGGACTCATACATTGCACTCAGAAAGTTCATGAATGCTGTAGCAGTTTGTGGGACCCCTTCCTAAAACAGAGGGGCCAATAGTCCCATGCTAGATTAGTCTCTGGTATCTCTGGGTCCCTGTTTTCTCATTATTAGAAGGGTAGTGACCCCACCCTCCCCAAGTCACCCAGTGCAACTGGAGACACCCTGCGCAGAGGAAACACTCTCCGCCCACACAATAGCTACATTGTATCTGGCGGTTTCCAATTCTGGTGTACCTGCCTCTGGTGTCCCTGGCTAGAAACTGGGTTCACTGGGCTAGAAGTCACTCTGCTCCCTGCTCTCAAGCCATCTGCTGGTAGGGCCAACCTGAGGCTGCAATGGGTCGATTCTCTCCAGTGGCGGCAAAGTCCCTGAGGTCTGTGCCAGTTCTCAGCTGGAAGTCGGAGCAATGCTGTGTGACTGGAGGTTTCCCTCCTGCTGGCCAGCTCCGGAATAACCAGTGAGGTTTCCTATTAATTGCAAGCTGTTTGGCCTATTAGCTCAGACTTTTACTAACTAGCTATTACAACTTAAACTGACCTGTTTTTATTAATCTGTGTAGTGCCATGTGGCCATGGCTTATCGGTGATGCTCGGACATCTTTCTCCTTTGGCAGCTAGATGGTGTCCCTCTGACTCTGCCTTCTTTTCCCCTGTATCTCTGCTTCTTTTTCCCTACTGGTTCTATTCTGCCTTACTATTGGCTAAATCAGCTTCTTTATTAACCATTGGTAATAAAGATATATTCACAGCATACAGAAGGGCATCCCACATTCTCCTTCCAGGTTCTGTGAGTCTAGGATCCTGTTCTCAGATACCCTGGGCGCATATGAGAATATATACTTTGTCCTCACTTTGCCGATAATCACCATGAGAGGAGGCATACAATGCCTGGGAGCTTCGTTTTCATGTCCTTGGTGACCCAGGTTGCATGCTCTATTCCAAAGCTTCAGTGGTTTGTCTAGAGGTGCAGACAGACAGACAGACTGCTCGGTGGTGGGTTGGAGTTAATAGAAGTCTGTCTTGGGCCAGGGGGTGGTGGTGCATGCCTTTAATCCCAGCACTCGGGAGGCAGAGGCAGGTGGATATCTGTGAGTTCAAGGCCAACCTTGTCTACAAGAACTAGTTCCAGGAGAGCCTCCAAAGCTACAGAGAAACCCTGTCTTGAAAAACAAAACAAAACAACAAAAAACAAAACATACAAACAAAAAGAAGTCTGTCTTGGATTGTGTATACAGGCTTCTGGGTCTGTGGGTCAGGGTGCTGTCTGCTGAGGTGGCATTGGCTTCTGAAAGGCCAGCACTGTGGTCTCTGTGCATGTATGTTTTCTTCTTCCTTATCGCTAATCAAGCTTGTATAACCAGGGTGGCCCTGCTTCCTGCTCAGGGGCTATCAGGAGCCATCTGTAGATGTAAACGGGGTGACAGGGCCTCAGTAGAGTCACACAGTCAGACACTTCCTGAGACATAGCTTCGGGTCCCCATCCACTTCTGGCTCCTCAGGGATCCCAGGGCTCAAGGTCTTGCTCTTCTCAGGGACTTCCCTTTGTGGGACAGCTGAGGACAGTGCATGGCATGCCGTCTGGGAAGAGCCGTCTGTTATATAGACATACCGTCTGGGAAGAGCTGTCTGTTATATAGACGTGCCGTCTGGGAAGAGCTGTCTGTTATATAGACGTGCAGTCTGGGAAGAGCCGTCTGTTATATAGACATGCCGTCTGGGAAGAGCTGTCTGTTATATAGACGTGCCGTCTGGGAAGAGCCGTCTGTTATATAGACGTGCCGTCTGGGAAGAGCCGTCTGTTATATAGACGTGCCGTCTGGGAAGAGCCGTCTGTTATATAGACATGCTGTCTGGGAAGAGCTGTCTGTTATATAGACATGCTGTCTGGGAAGAGCTGTCTGTTATATAGACGTGCCGTCTGGGAAGAGCTGTCTGTTATAAAGACATTTGTTGCTGTCGTCCCCTGTGTCCCCAGGGCAGATCTCTGGGATAAGTCTGTTTCAGGAGTAGCAGGCCAGAAAACGCATAGAGGCTTGTCCTGTGACCCTGAGAAGAGCCCTGGCCCTTTATGTGACTTTACTTTTGCATTGCCAATGAACAGCCTTTCCTTGGACAGTTGTCAGAACCTAGGCAGAACGAGGCGTGGTGGCGCATGCCTTTAATCCCAGCATCCCAGCACCCAGGAGGCAGAGGCTGGAGGATTTCTGTGAGTTTAAGGACAGCCTGGTCTACAGAGTGAGGTCCAGGATAGTCAGGGTTACACAGAGTGGCTCCATCTCAAAACAGACAGACAGACCGACAGACAGACCGACCGACAGACAGACAGACCAACAAGATACAAGGCAAAGCACAGGTATTGCAGAGCCTAGGGTACCATGCTGAGATGGATGGCAGGAAAATGTATGATGATTCAGGAGATCTGAGTCTGAGGGGCCAGTTTAGTGCCGAAGGCGCCAGACTTCGGTTGAGTCAATTGGCTTTTCTAAGCTTCAGTTAACCACTGAAGCTGGAGAGCTGTGCCCAGTCCTGTCCACAGGACACGGTAAGGGCACCTGCTGTGCAGAGCCCTGTGGAAAGCAGGCCTCCCATGGGGTGCCTAGCACAGGGGACACCTATCATGGGGTGCCCAGCACAGGGGACACCTCACACAGGGGTGCCCAGCAAGGAGACACCTCCCATGGGGTGCCTAGCACAGGGGACACCTCCTACAGGGGTGCCCAGCAAGGAGACACCTCTCATGGGGTACCTAGCACAGGGACACCTCCTACAGGGGTGCTTAGCAAGGAGATACCTCTCATGGGGTGCCTAGCACAGGGGACACCTCACACAGGGGTGCCCAGCACAGGAGACAACTCACACAGGGGACACCTTCCACAGGGGACGCCTCCCACAAGCCCTACAGTTAAGTCTTTTGCAGGTTGGCCCCTGGAGAAGATGGCAGTAAAACAGGTCCTGGGCCCCTGGTTCCTGATCTACACCTGTGTCTGCTCTTGCATCTGCTGGGGAGTCCCTGTCCCAGAGCAGGGAGCAGGTGAGCGTCTGGAGTCACATCTCCCTGAGGTAACAGCATAGAGAGGGGATCTGGGGACAAGTTGTCATCTGTGACAACCCAGGGAAACATGGGCCCAGACACTGCTGGAACCTGTCCTCTGGTGTCCTACCGCCTCCCACCCCACAAAGGTCTCATGTCTGAATGACCCTGGTACCATGGTTGCAACCCAGCCATCCCTAAGCCTCTCATCCTGCCCCTGACACATTCTCTTGGAACTTTCTTTGGAGTCGTTCTGGCCAGATCTCCCCCACCTACCTCAGCTCTGCCTTGAGGCCCTACTGTGTGCTCCCCCATCCCCATCCCCAGGGCTGAAGGCTGGGACGTTCACCTGCCTCAGCAACAGTCTCTTCAGGATTGACTGCCACTGGTCGGCTCCAGAAGCGGGCCTGGAATCCAGGGCCTGGCTCCTCTTTACCAGGTGAGGATGGAGGGCCAGGCCTGCTCAGGGAGGGTACAGGGTCCCTGTGGTGGCGGCAGCCATGGTGCTGACACACGGCCTTTCCAGTAACCAGACGACAGATATCAGGCACAGGTGCCCGTTCCAGGGCAGTGTGTGCACCCTCACGCTGCCCCTGGAGGAGGTGTTGGTGCCCACTGATGTCTTCACCATCACTTTTCATCGTCTCATCCTGGGGCAGGAGCAGGTCAGCTTGGTGGACTCACAGTTCCAGCCGTGGAGGCACAGTGAGTAGAACACCCCTGCCGGCAGTGCCCGAGAATCCTTACCAAGCAGACCTGGATGCAGATAGGACCCTGGGAAGCAGGCATAATGGCTGCTGCAGAGTCAGAGTCTGGGCAAAGAATGAAAAGACGTGGTTAGGTGGGGGTAGAGACTGCAGCCTGAGAGCTACTGGAATGTCCTCTGTTGGAGGAGGGGCCACTTGTTCTTCCCAAAATAATCACACAGAAACTGTATTAATTTAACCACTGCTTGGCCCATTAGTTCTAGCTTCTTTTTTTTAATATTTATTAATTTATTATGTATACAATATTCTTTCTGTGTGTCTGCCTGCAGGCCAGAAGAGAGCACCAGATCTCACTACAGATGGTTGTGAGCCACCATGTGGTTGCTGGGAATTGAACTCAGGACCTTTGGAAGAGCAGGCAATGCTCTTAACCACTGAGCCATCTCTCCAGCCCCCCTAGTTCTAGCTTCTTATTGGCTAACTCTTACATATTAATTTAACCCATTTCTATTAATCTGTGTATCGCCATGTGGCAGTGGCTTACCAGCAAAGTTTCAGCATGTCTGACTCTGGCAGCCGCTCCATGGCGTCTCTCTGACTCCACCTCCTTTCTCCCAGCATTCAGCCTAGCTTTCCCTGCCTACCTAAGTTCTGCCTTGCTATAGGTCCAAAGCAGTTTCTTTATTCGTTCATGGTAATCACAGCACACAGAGGGGATTCCCACATTAACACTCCTGTCACAACAGGAATTATTCTGGAAGGACACCAGGAAAAACTTCCTGCAGCCAACTGTGAAGGAAGTTACCTTGCTTCAGGGACTTAAGGAAGTCACTCACTGCCTTTCCCCAAGCAATTTTCCTGACTTAGTCTTCAGATGATGTCCCTGGTCTGAAGGAGCCTTGACCATGACCTCTTGGGAATGTCCTTGGTCCCGGTTCTGGCCATGCTGAGGGACACAATGGTAGCTGCAGCCTCACTGGGCCCCTCCTTGTTTCAGTTAAGCTGGATCCCCCCTTGGATCTGCAGAGCAACATCAGCTCTGGGCGTTGTGTCCTGACCTGGAGCATCCATTTTGCTCTGGAGCCCTGGCTCTCAGACCTCAACTATGAGCTGGCCTTCAAGAAGCAGGAAGAGCCCTGGGAGGTAACTTGGTGGTAGCTAGAGTCAGTGGTGAGGACAGAGGGAGTCAGGATTAGATGTGCATGTATGTGCTGGCTACATACAAACCTGCGTTTGTATGTGTGTCTATGAACATAGTGTGTGAGTGTGCCCGTTTGTACATGTTAGCTTTTATGTGTGCGTGTCTTTGCTATGTGCTTCTCTGGCTGAATGTATAACTGGACAGAGTGTGTGAATGTGGTAAAGGTGTACATGTACCCACTGGTGTGTGTGTGTGTGTGTGTGTGTGTGTGTGTATGCGAGTGGGCTTGTTGGTACATGTGTGTTCATTCTTTAGGGCCCTGCGCTCAGTCAAATGCCCCAACCCTGCAGCAGGCCCGGCGCAAGGACCGTATTGTTGGAGTGACATGGCTCAGCCTTGAAGCCGTGGAGCTGAACCCTGGCTCCATCTACGAGGCCAGACTTCGTGTCCAGATGACTTTGCCAGAGGAGGATTACATGGCAGAAGGGAGATACTATAAGAGCCATTGGAGTGAGTGGAGCCAGCCTGTGTCCTTTCCTTCTCCCCGGAGATGGAGACAGGGTAGGTGCTGTGTGGTGGGTGCTTGGTCACAGCCTGGCCTGAGTCTCTGTTCCTTGGTTCCTTCTGCCTCTCCTCCATTTAATCAACCTACAGCCCCCTCTTGTTTCTGGATGTGCTAGTTCATAGCTAGTGGCCACGAGAAGCAAGGGTGTCCAGGACTGCACACTGGCTGCTTCTGTCTGAGGCTGGATGAGACCTGGGTTTCCTTTGTGAGTGTTGGGATGATCCTTTGTACAGTGGTGACACCAGCTGTATGACAGGGGGGAAAGGAGGGGTGCAGATGAGGTCACCCCAGGAACATCAGAGGTTCACAACACAAGCCCCAAGGCCCATCCTTAACTCTTTCTGTTTTGGCTCAGAGAACTAACAGTGACTCCCCTCCCCCTTACCATGTGGACTTAGGGGAACATCCTGGCACTTAGGCTACTCACAACCATGGACGTTTCTGCCCACAGACTTCCTGCTCCCATCCTGGCGGTGGTCGGATAGCATCCTTGTTGCTGTGTCTGTCTTTCTTCTGCTGACCGGCCTTATTCACCTTCTGTTCAAACTGTCACCCAGGTAGGTAGCCAGTGTGTTTGTGTGCGTGCGTGCATGTGTATGTGTGTGTGTGTGAATGAATTGTGGCATGCATGTAAGTGTGCTGGAATACACGTATGTTGACAGAGGTTTCTGTCCCACCTGGTCCCGCAGCTGTTCAGCCCTAAAGAAACACACAGAGGTCTATGTTAATTATAAACTGATTGGCCTAATAGCTCAGGTTTTCTTATTAACTAATTTTACATCTTTAATTAGTCCATAATTCTTGTCTTGCTAGCCGCGTGGCTTGCTACCTTTTATCAGTGAGGTGTTCTCATCTTGCTTCTGTGTCAACTGCAGACTGACCCCTTCATCTTCCCAGAAGTCTCCTGCTCTCATCGCCCTGCCTCTACTTCCTGCCTGGCTACTGGCCAATCAGCATTTTATTAAAGCAATTGTCCCACAGCATACATGTATTAGTATGTGAGACTGGGGAAACACGGCGGCCTGCTGATGGCACAGATATTGTCTCTGGAGCTATTGGCTTCATCTGAGAGCTAAGGACACAGCTGGTTGCTTCCAGGCCCTGAACCCACTATTGGAGAGTGCACACAGTGACCCACCCACATTGGCTCCCATTCTGGGGTTCATTCAGAGGTTTTATTTATGTATTTATTTTTGATGGCTATTACTGCATTGCCGACTTTGGCCCTCAACAAATGGGCTGAAGTGATCTCATGCCTTAGCCTCCCGGGTAGATGATATAATACGCATGTGTTGCTGTGCTTAGTGGCCTTTGAGGACAGGCTTGTGTGTAGTGGGCTGGCATCTGGTAGGCAGAATGGAGCTCCAGTCTTGGCAGTGACCTTAAGCCTTCTGAAGTGTGGCATTAGGAAAGGCTTCTATCTTGGTCACTTTGCTCCTGACTTTTCTATTTTGGTTTCAGGATGAAGAGAATTATCTACCAGAATGTTCCCTCCCCAGCACCTTTCTTCCTTCCTCTCTACAGTGTGTACAATGGGGACTTCCAGGTGTGTGCCGGGGAACTTCAGGGAGGCAGGGTCAAGTCTGGCACTAGAGGGCAGATATGCCTAGAAGTCTGCCTTGTGTAAGCAAAGTTTGGGCTTAGACTGGGTGCATGAGCAGAGGGGGCCCGTCTATGCTCCAAGTCTCTTCTGTACATAGAGTAGGCTTACATTTGTACCCCGTCTCTAATGGGCACGTATTTTGCTGTATTTGTGGGATGGTGTTGTGGGCCAGCTTTCCCGAGCACAGCAATGGAGGATTCTAGTCCCGCTGAGAGACAGCATTCTTTGGGAGGCTAAGCAACAGTGGGAGGCTAAGCCCTCTTGTTGCTCCGCAGAGGCTCCGGACTTTGTCTCTAGTTGTGTGCGTCGCTGCATTTTTGGGGGGGGGGGTCGTCCTCTATCTGCACCTGCTGGGTGGCCCTGGACGAGCGTTCTGCCATAGTTTTGATTTGTCTTTGGTACCTGTTAAATCTTTCCCTTTCTCTTTGGCACCTGGTTCATGCTGCTATAAGCCTGTGGCCTCGGGCTGAGGGGGGACCTGAGAGGCCTGAAGAGGCTCAGCGCTTCACAGGTGGGAGGAAGATAGAATGCTCTGGGCCCAGGCACGCCTTAGCTTACTTCCTGGAGGAGGAGATGGGGGGGGGGGCTGCTTCCAGGGTAAGTCCTGAACACACTACCTAAGCCCTTCTCCTGCCTCCTGCTCTGATGCAGACCTGGACAGGGGCCCACAGAACTGGACCGCACCCAAGACGGAATGGTGTCAGCACTCCATCAGGAGACTCAGAGACCAGCATCTGGGAGGCCATTACATCCCTCACCTACAGCCCAGCGCGCCCTGCGCAGTTTTCCAGCCTGCAGTGGGAAGGCGCAGGCCCTGGCTTCTCAGAGCCACTAGGCTTGGCGCACGTGCTGCCTGCAGGGTGTCTGGAGCTGGAAGGACAGCCGTCTGCCTACCTGCCCCAGGAGGGCTGGGCTTCTCCAGTCTCTGTCCGACCCCCTCCGCTGGACTCAGACGGGGGCGGCAGGGACTATTGCATCTTGGTCTCCTGTGAGGAGCCCTGCCCCTCAGCCTTCCCAGAACATATCCAGAGCCCTGAGCTCACACAGCCGCAGCCTGTGGCCCTTCCTGTGTCCAGCAGGACCTGACCCCTACCGAGGGATGTGGGTATTTTCTTCCCTCCTACTCTGGGAGGGTACTAGACTCAGTCTCAGTCTGTCTCAGCCGGATGGACCATGTCTGTTTTGGGGAGGTGAACTAAAGACCCTGGGACTGCTCCTTGGGTGGCTGTGGGAGCCCAGAGAGGAGGCAGCTGTGCATTGGTCAGAGCCCATGTGGATGGAAGCAGCAGGCTGTTACTCAAGGCTCTGCCCTGTCCTGTGGCGGGGAGGCCTCCACACTCAGCCTCTCCTCATCAGGTTTCCTTCTCCCCCTCCCGGCTTTGTCCCAGTCCGGAAAGGAGCGTGTGGTGGGTAGCTTGGTCTGTCCTCATAACTTTAAAGGGTTAGCCTGGGCCAAGGGAATCCTTCTGAGACAATATGAACAGGTGAAGTGTCCCTTTTCTGTCCCTTCCTGAAGTGCCTTCCCCACTAGGACTGAAAGGGATTTTTTGACTGTTCCAGACTATGGATGACTGGAGTTGGGGAGAATGGTGGAACTCTGAGTGAGCGGGCTGTCCATCTCCAAGATCAGCAAGATGGAGTCTCGCTGAATGATGCTAAGAAGTCTTACCATCTGTATTAGTCACTGTTCGGTTGCTGTGATAAAAACACCGTGACCAAAAGTGACTTAGAGAAACAAGCGTTTATTTTAGTTTAAGGTTCCAGAGGCCGAGGAATATATCAGTGCAGAGACGTCCCAGCAGGAGCAGGAAGCTGAGAGCGCACTTGATAACCAAAAGTGCGAAGCAGATTGTACCGGAAGTGATGTTTTCTTCCTCAAGCAAGGCTCCGCCTCCTAGGTTCCGCTGCCTCCCCACACAGTGCCTCCAGCTGGGGATCAAGGGTACACACACACACACACACACTGGGGACCAAGGGTACACACACACACACACACACACACACACACACACACACACACGAGTGAGCCTATGGGGGATGTTCTCATGCAACCCACCTCGCCACCTCCTGTCCCCAACCTCCCACTGTTCCTAGGAGAAAGACCGAAGCCACTAGACAGATTGGAAGTGGCTACTCCTCAGCGACTGTGGCCTGAGAGGAGCACCGATCTCCTACCGCCTTGAGTGCTCCAGAGGAGATGACAGGCAGACCAGACTGTGGCTGTTATTTTCCTAGAAGTTGATACTTTGAGATTCTTAAAGGATAAGCGTAGAAACAATGGTAGCACGAAGATGATTTCTGAGGCCGTAACAACGTGCGTGCGTGCGGAAACTACTGCGTGGTAGGCGTGGTGAGTGGGTGTGGTGTTGTGGGTTAGAGCTGGTGCTCCGGAGGGCTCACAAAGCTGCCCCGGGGTAAGTGTTGGCTCAGTAGACCCTCCACGGCATGATGGCCTAGTTAGAACCGAGAGAGCTGGGATTTCCCTCCAGGCCGGTTCCCTGCCTTACCCGTGCTGGCATGCAGAGATTTTCAATCAAGGATAAGGCTTCTATTTAGAATAAGTCCTTCGGCGGAATAACAATTTCTCAGGTAGAGGAGATTTCTAATTTTACCTTTTAATTTTATTTTTAAATTTATCTCTCATTTCAAAAATTACCTTTTTTGAATAGACACAGTATATACACTTACATAAATACTACTCTGGCCTCTGCCATCTGCTTCTTTTTATATATTTATTTATTTTGGGTTTTTGTTTTTGAGACAGGGTTTCTTTGTGTAGCTCTGGCTGTCCTGAAACTCGCTTCGTAGATCAGGCTATCCTTGAACTAAAGTTTGTGTGTTTTGTAGGTCATGGAATGATCTGTGAAAACTATTAACGACTAAAATTTCACAAAAGGTAATTTAAGATTTTGGAATCTGGATTTTTTTTTTGTTTTATTTTGTTTTTTGTTTTTTGAGACACGGTTTTTCTGTAGCTTTGGAGCCTGTCCTGGAACTCACTCCATAGACCAGGCTGGCCTTACTCACAGAGATCCACCTGCCTCTGCCTCTGTCTGGAGTGCTGGGATTAAAAGTGTGTGCCACCACCTGGCAATCGGGATTTTTTATTGCACCTCTGTAATAACATTTCCATGACTGTCACTGCTCTCACAAAAGGAAGCAAGTTGTAATTGATGAAAATAATAGTCAGCAATTATTTCAAAGTGTAGTAATTAACGCTGACATTGGTTACTAGACAGCCTTCACTCCATTTGCCTGGGTGTGTGATTAATATATGTTACTTAGAAGTTTGAAGAAGGATGGAAAAACTTAATGGCAATTCACTCAAAATACAAAAGTAACAACTCATTGAAAAGATTCATTCTGCCAGGCATAGCAGCTGCACACTGTTAATCACAGCATTTGGGAAGCTGGGGCAGATGAATCTCTGAGTCTGAGGGCAGCCTGGTCTACAGAGTGAGTTTCAAGACAGGCTCCAAAGCTACAGAGAAACCCTGTTTTGAAAAACCAAAAACATGAGAAAAAACAAACAAACAAACAAAAAAACCCCAAAACCAAAAAGAACAAAAAAAGAGAACAAACTAATCCCACCCCCAAAACAAAACAAAAACAAACAAACAAAAACCAATGACAAAACCAAGCAAAATACCCAGAAGAGGAAAAGCTGATCTTTATTTAGTGAAGATGTACATAATCTTAATAAGGGCATTTCAGAATCCACCGTCTGGGCTCTGTCACACACCGACGGCCAATTCTCAGGGATGAATCTTGTTGTTTGGTTATAAAGGGCCTACGTCAGAGTTTCCTCCAGTGTCCAGGAGCAAGGCTATTGAGAAACCTCAGGTACATAATACAGTCAGATCATTTTAGAGGAAGTGTCTGCGCAATTCTCCGAGTCTGTGATAGTTTATTTACATCAACTCATGGTATCTAGAAAAGTTAAAGCAGTGGAGTTTTTGCTGGGCTGGGTGTGGCTCAAAGGTAGAGGGCTTATCTAGCCGGGAAGCCTGTGTTAGCCCTGTCAGACGCGTGCTCCCAGAGTCCTGTGTGTGCGGTTCATCTCCCGCAGCCCTTAGCTTAGGTTCAGGAGTGAACAAAGGCTTTCTATACCCTTATATATTTAAATAATTATTTTGTCTTATAAATGTATATTTTGCTTTTCTTTCATGTGTACATTTGAAACAAGTCTCTTTTTTTCCCCATTTAAAAAAATATTTGTGCAGTGCCCTCATAGGCCAGCAGAGGGCATCAGGTCTCCCGGCGCGAGGCGCTATGTGGGTGCAGGGCACCAAATTCTGGTCCTCTGGAAGAGCAGTTGGTGTCTCTAAAGGATGAGTCATCTCTCCAGCCCCAAAGTGGCCTTTACTGTCAGCATATCTTTAAGAATTCTTTTTAAAATGAACTCTGATGTCAAAGGTTTGTAGGGTCCTCTCCAGTATAAATCCCGTGACAGTCTGTCAGATTTGAACACCAGTTAAGATTTTGTCACATTCTTTACCCCTGTAGGTTTCTCTGTTGTGTGGCTTCTCTGCTGTCTTGTAAGGGCTGAACAATAGTTGGAGACTTGACCACACACCTTACGTTTCTCCAGTTTCTGTCCAGATTGAACTCTTTAATAAAGTTTGAACTTTGAAGCAAAATCCCGTGTCACAATCTCCCCTCTAGTGAGGCTGACCTGGAGTGTGAGTCCATTGAAGAAAAATACACTTTGAAGGTTGATGAAGCATTTTTTTTTCTGTAATGGTTCTTTGAAATTTTAATATACTGGTATTTAGGGTTTGAGCTGTTGTCAAAGTCGTTATAGATTTTTTACATTGATAAATATCCTTTGCAATATAAATATCCTGCAATTATTTACATTAGATCCATTAATAAAAGCTTCCTTATTTTCTTTACATGTGTATTGGGTTTTCTGAGTATCCATATCTCAGAAAGTCCACATCATTATTAATTTTCTATTTGTGTGTGTGTGTTCTGTCTGTACGTATGTCTGTGCACCATGGTTGAGTAGCATGCCCAAGGAGGCCAGAGAGGGCATCAGGTCCCTGGAACAGGTCCCCCTGGTACTGGGGTCACAGACAGTTGTGAACCACTGTGTGGGCGCTGGGAATCAAACTCAGTTCTCTGCCAGAGCAGCCAGTGACTTAACTCTGAGCCATCTAACACCTGAGTTTGGAACTGATAGTGGGTATGTAGCAAATGTCCATCAGTTATCTGGGCACAGGAAGGGTCCTGTGTGCTGACTGCAGGCTGAGAACTCTCCCTTGCAGAAGCAACGGATCACATTTACAGATTGGCCCTGTTTCTAGAGTTCTTGTCTACAGAAACACTTGAACGGAAGCTGGCCCCAGTGACACATTGTTCAGATTATTAGCCAAAGGGACTGGGATCCTTTTTGGGGTTCCCGAAATTCCATTTTAGAGGAGGAGCATGCTGCAGAATGGCTTTGACTGTTTCTTCTCCAAACATGGCTCATCGAAGCTAAACTGGCCAGACATGAGTGTGTGTCTCACAGATTTTTTGTTCTTGGTCTCTGTTAGCAGCGACACTTGCTTTTGTTAGCAGCCGGACACAGGTTATGTCCACCACAAAGGGAGTTTTGACCGCTCACCCTTCAGTGTGACCTGTCAAGGCCGCCGTTCTAGGTCTCGGGAAGAGATGCTCTATGCTCCGTTCTTGTGACAATTATCCCACTCAGTGGGCTCTGGGTACAGTCTATGCCCTAACACATAGAGCTGTGCCAAGCCTGGGACGCCAGCAGAAGAGGGTAAAGTAAAGGCCCCGTGGTTTGAGTGGCACATGAACATCACAGTGTACAGGCCAATGCGACCTGAGAACTTCCAGAGCCGGTCAAGAACTCATAGCGGCCAAGACGGCAGTGGTGTATAGGGGAGCTGAAGCCTGCGGCCCTTCTCCCTGGGGCTCTTTTCTAATAGGGCATTGTGTAACTAGGAGAAATCTCTGAACCTCCACTTCCTCAGGAGCCTCGAAAGGGGAGGCCCTCCTACACATTTGTGGCTTCCTAGGGTGGGCGTGGGGCGGCTGCGTCTGCCCAGCACAACGGTAAGAAGAGAGGACAGGCATATTTTGGGTGACCTAAGAATGGATGAGAGGCTCCAACAATCTCTAGACCAGATGAATGTTGGCAGTCTTGCCTGAATGAAGGTAACCCACAGATATGGGGGGGGGTCAAATAACTTGTTTTGAGATTAAGCAAATATCGATTTTATTGAAAAATTACCATATGCAGCATGTTCAGAGAATAAAAGTAGTTATAAAAGCTAAATCTAGCTACTCAGCCCTTACTTTGTAATTAGCACCCAGTGTTTAGAATGCTCTGCTTCCACACAACTAGCACATCTCTTAAAACATTTTCTTTTTAGCTCCCAAAGTCCAGTTGAAGAGTGGGAGGAGTGAGAATATGAGCAAAGGGGTCAAGACCATGATGGGTTCACCCACTGAAACAGTCTACCTGAGCTAATGGGAGCTCACCAACTCCAGCTGGACTGGGAAGGAACAAGCATAGGACCAAACTAGTCCCTCTGAATGTGGTTGGCAGTTGCATGGCTGGGGCAGACTGAGGGGCCACTGGCAGTGGCCCCAGGATTTATCCCAATTGCATGTACTGGCTTTTTGGGAACTTACTCTCTTTGGATGGATACCTTGCTCAGCCTAGATATGGTAGGGAGGGCCTTGGACCTTCCCCAAAGCAATGTGCCTTAACGTCTCTGAGTATTGAATGGGGGTTATGTGGAGGGAATGAGAAGAGAGGAGGAGGGGAACTTGGATGGTATGTATAATGAAAAAGATAGTTTGTTTTCTTTTTAAAATAAAATAAAATAAAAGCAGAAAAAATTTTTCCTTTTTTTCTTATAAGTATTTTATTTATTTAATTTTATTTATTTGTTTTTTCATTTATTTATTTATTACATACCAATCCCAGTTCTCCCTCCCTCCTCTCCTCCCAGTCCCTTTCCTTCCTCCACCCATCCCCCATCAGCTCCTCAGAGAGGGTAAGGCCTCCCCTGGGAAGTCAACTAAGTCTCCCATCACCTTGTTGAGGCAGGACCAAGGCTCTCCCGCCACCTCCCGCCACCCCACTTATCCTCCCTCCCGCCCCCATGCCTAGGCTGAGCAAGGTATCTCCATAGAGAACGGGCTTGCCAAAGTCAGTTCATGCATTAGGGTTAGATCCTGGTCCCACGGCCAGTGACCCCACATACTGTCCAAGCCACACCATTGTCACCTGATTCAGGGGACCTAGTTTGGTCCTATGAAGGTTTTCAGGCTGTCAGTCCAGAGTCAGTGAGCTCCCACTAACTAGGGTCAGCTTGTTCTGTGGGTTCCCCATCATGGTCATGACCCCTTTGTTCATATTATCGCTCTTCCTTCTCTCTCTTCGATTGTACTCTGGGAGCTCAGCCCTGTGGTCAGTTGTGGGTTCTGGCATCTCTGGAGTTGTGGGCTGTAGACTGATTATTCTTTGCTTTGTGTCTGATATCCACTTATAAGTGAGTACATATTATATTTGTCTTTCTGGGTCTGGGTTACCTCACTCAGGAGGTTTTTTTCTAGTTCCATCCATTTGCCTGCAAATTTCAAGTTGTCATTGTTTTTTACTGCTGAGTGGTACTCCTTTGTGGAAATGTACATTTTCCTTATCCATTCTTTGGTTGAGAAGCATCTAGGTTGTTTCCAGGTTCTGGCTGTTACGGGTAATGCTGCTATGAATGTGGTTGAGCAAATGAACGTGGTGGCATCTCGTCTACTGCTTTGACACTGAGATGGATAATAGGTATCTCAACCGTGACCGTTGATATCTGTTGCCTAATTCAGCATTGCCAGACTTCAGCCATTTTATTTTTAGTGCTCTGAGAGATTTCTATCTTATCCTTAATTTTCCTCATGGGGTATACTGCTGATTGATTTTCAAATGCACACATTTTCGTGAAGGATAAAACAACATACAAAGAAGCAGAGACTCATGCTACAACCGCGCAGCGGCCATG